TTCATAAGATTATATTAGCAAAAAAGAAGAAAAAGGAAAAATAAAAAAAGTAGAAAATCTGGTAAAAGGATGCATAGTTTTCTCATAACTTTTATAGTCTCGGAAATTATTTGTTATTTTATACGATAAAATAACTGACTAAAACTGATTATGTGTGCACAGCAAAGATTTTCTTTTCAGGAAGAAACGTCGACAGATTTTCAATAGAATATAAAGTATTTTGCATTGAATTATATATTGTGTCAGACAACTTTATATTTCTTAAATAATCCTAAGTTCAAAATGAATATAATAATTTAAGAAAACTTTTAAATTTAATTTAACAGATTATAAAAATGTAATTGGTGAGATGATCAAAGCAATAGGGGGAAATCATTAAAAGAAGAAATGTCTAATTGATAATTCGTAGCAAAATGCAAATTATTTTATTAACAAAGCTCAAAAGATTCATCACTGCTATCGACAACATGTATATATATANTATATATATATATATATATATATTACATTTGGTGACTGCCAAAGATGTGGCTCAAGTTTAGAACAATCGATGCTCTTACTTAAAATTGAACTTATCAATTAAATGTCCACGAAAGATATGTTACAATATTAAAATTCTGTTGATTACGTTAATCTGTTACAAGATTAAAATTCTGCTGATTCTGTTAAAATTTGTGTTGATTGCGTTAAAAACGTTGCCATATGCTTTTGATCCATAAGAGCTTTTTTCCAGCAATTCTGCATTCCTTAAATGTTATTAGTTTGCTATTGATTTCGAATGATGCTTAATTATTTAGTTGTAATGTAATATTTAATGAAAAAAGACGAACCAGCGGTTACGCTATGCTACAGCTTTGAAAATGGAGGACCCTTTGGAATTATTCAATTGAAGAGATTAAAGCAGATAATAATTCCAGTGATGATGATGTCACCAAAAATTGAATATTTTGAAAAAGTGATAATGTTTGAAGAATGTTGAGTTCGAATTTGAATAGTTGTGTGATATTGTAGTGATTTGGTTAACCACTGGGGTTATTTCTTGTTTCGAAAAGTGTTTTGAATTCTAAGCCTTTGATTTTAAACAAAATCATGCTTTTGTGATAATTATTTCGAAAGTTGAAAATGATTACTCAACTTCGAAAGTTTCTTTTTTTTGTGTGAGAAAAATTAGTGTTTTATTGTTTAGTGACGCGAGAAATAAGTATAAAAGCATATAAAAGGCTTGAATCCTATTTATAACAAGCTTTAAAATTAGTGAATAATTTAGTATTTGTGGTTTAATTAGAATAATTTGCTTAGATTGAAAATTATTGGCATGTTTTGAGTTCACTTTCATTGTTCACTTTAAATTTTTAAAATTCATTTAAATTTAATTTTTGAAGGTTTTTTCGTTTTCAAATACTAATTGGACTTGTATTTTCCATGACTATGTCAATATTATTTCATTGAGAAATTTTTTTTTTAGTTTTCTCTTCTTTTTCATAATAATGCACCCCAATCAACAATTTTGCAATAGCTGTTTTTTATGGTTTTTATTTTCTAATTTAGATTGATTGATTTTGCAAAATGCTGAATTTATTTGCACATTTTTCAACATTTCAAGTTAATTTCTTTTAATAAATTCATAAATTTTTGAACATTTAAGAAACTTAAATATTTTAAACTTTATTTTAATTCATAATCTTGATTTTGACCTGTTTAACAAACCTTACCATTAGAACACACATGAGATTCATTAAAACGTGCAATTGATTAAACGATGATGATGAATTGAAGAAACGTGCAATTACTTTTTTTTTCTTCGTCCTTTTATCCTATTTATTTTCCGTTTATTTATTTGCCTTTTCATTTGAGTACTTTCTTCTAATGTTCGTAGTATTTGTTTTTCATTTGTTCATTGTGTTTGTTTTTCATTTGATAATTGAGTTTGTTTTTAATTTGTTCAATGAATTTTTTTTATTTGATCTTGGTGTTTTGTCATCTTTTCATTTTGTTATGAAAGCTAATGACAAAACTAACAACAGCACTGCTTATATCATCATTCGTCATTTGCCACGTTAAATGGCTTTAGATACAGAAATAGCTCAATAGCAACCCTGAATGGCAAAACGTTTTAGTTGGGAATGAAATTCTTACTACATATAATTTATTAAGTTGTATTACAAAGAAATAAATTTTTAACATTTATTATTACTGATTTTTCAAAATGTACTATGCTCATTATTATGTATTTATTGAAATATATGGCTTTCTGATCCTCTGTTAGTATAACCCAGGTAGCACCGTCACTAGATTGCATCAAAAATGCGACAGTCACGAATTCTCTTTTGTCAAATCACGAATAGTTTTTGCGACATCAATGGGTAGGTCAAAAAAAAGTCTCTGTGACAACTTTTATGAATTTCATTTTATAACTAGAGACTACAATCAGGCATTTAATTTTGCAGTGACGTTATCGTGTGACGAAATTGAGACATATTTACGTCTGAACATTGTCACCGTGTGACAAAGATGAGACGTGAATGTCATATATCGCGTGTATATGTCACACCAGTGTAAAAATGTGGATTTTGGCACTTATGGGATCCATTAAATTAACAATTAAAAAATACATCTATTCTAAAAATTCACTTCTACGAATGGATTTTCGAAATGTTCAAGCATTTACTACTATTTATTGTGATTGAAACAGTTAAAGAAATGTTTTCAAATTCGCAACACTAAAAATAAATTATGAAAAACAAAATCGAAATTTTTTATAATTATTAAAAAAAGAAGGAAAGAAAACTGCTGTGAATATCACCATCCCCTCTCTTGTTCTGGAAATACGAGGCCCAGAGTAAGTACGCTGCTTGTCTCAAACTTACGAGGACACTGCTGCGATGCATAAAAATGCTCAACATACAGTTTATAAATATATAAATATAGATCAAATTGGTCACATAAGGGATAAGGTTGGTCAAAATTCCACTGTTTATCTAACTCCAAATCATTAAACATTCGGAATTAATTATTTGGAGTTGAAGAAAGAAAAATGTATGTATTTGGTAAACATACCGTATTAGAGAAAGGTCATTTCTGGGCAGATAGAAAATTCCTTCCCCATAGCGTCATTTTTATAGTCATATTTTGAAAAGATATTTCTGCAATACTCAGAGGAAAGAAAACAATTATTCGCAATGAAATATATATATTTTTAATAATTTTTTCCAGTTGCTTATTCAAAAAATTTAATTAATATTCAATGATATTTTTTATTGTTTATTTAAATTAGATTTTCGGGGAGTAAAAATGTTTACATCATGATCCCTCGTAATATTTTTGTTAACTGCCAAACCATTAAATATTTTCGATATTAACTGTGAGTAATTTATAAAGAAGACTTTTACTAGAAATAATAAACAACCGTGTTTAATTTATTTTCCTACAAAACCATTCATTACATTTGTCTATATAAATCTATGAGGAGTGATGTACATTAAAAAGTTAATTTATATTAATTACATTATGATCAATTTTAAGTCAGATTTTGTGAAGAATAATATTTATTTACAGTTTCATTACACATTGTCAACTGTGCACAAATACAATAGAACATACGATAAATACAATAGAAAAAAAGTAAAATGAAATCAAAGAAATTAAAAATAAGAAAGAAAGGAACGGAAAAAGGCAAAAAAAAAAAAATAAATAGAAATTCCTAGAGAAATAAAAAATGTAAACATGGTTTTGCAAAAATTGAGGAAAACGCAATAAGTCGTATTCTACTTGTCCTTAAATTATCAGGAAGGTGACTAAATATATATTATATTTCATGCAGGAGCAATAATTCTAAAATGTCACAAATCGAATGTCGGTAATTTTCAATATACTTAAACTAAACTCAAAGCATAACTCTGGTGCTGCCATCTTTCGAGAAAATCTAATATACAATCGAAATATTTATTTAAATATAATTTCATAAAAAATAGGTATTTCTAATAGATTATTCTAATTTTAACTTCATCAGAGTTTCTAACTAAATCTTTACTTTCTATCCCCTATTCATGTATTACCTACTTAAAGCAATATTACTCATATTTTAATTTTCGCTAATTTTCATCATATTCGTTTAAATATCTGTAGCTTGTAAATAATAAAAATTATTGCAACGAAAATTAATTATAAGAATAAATTTTCTTTGATTGAATTTCTACAAATTACTTAAGACTATTTGATCGGAATTAAATAAGCAAATATTAATTTTAAAAAATTATTTGAAACAAAAGAATCCCTGAATAAATAAAAGTTTAATTAAAGTTCCATATATCATGTACGATATGAGTTAGAGAATATGGCGGAAATGTTAATAAAGAGTAACAGGATGTGAAAATTGTATTTGAGAAATGTTTCACATTGCTCATAAGAGATGGCAGCATAATCAACTAAAACCTAATTGATCGCTAGTTCAGATATCACTGCTGCCATCTGTTGATAAGTTTTATGCCATAAATATCACGCACAGTTTAGTGTAAAAATATACATATCTATAAAAATATAGCCTGATTTTTAATTATAATTTTGATAATATTATTCTGATTATATTTTTGAAATGTTATATGTTTCTTTAAAGAAACGAGACAAATATTCTCTTTAAAATAAACAATCAAGGCTTATATGGAAGGGGTCATCCTGCTTTTTCATTGAGATGCTTCGCCTAAATTGAATTAACATTTATTTTCTTAGAAAAATACTAACAAAAAGGAAGAAAATTGCTCAATCATCATTTTTTAATTTACTTTATTTGTAAAAGAAAACTATTATGTTAATTATATAATAAATATATTTGCATAAAATAATTTGAACAGTTTTTAAAAAGTTTTATTAATATTAATTACATTTTATTAAATTGTAGTCGCATTTTTAGAAAATGTATTTATTTAAAAATACTTCTGAAAGGTGAATAGCGTAGAAATATGTACAAGTTAACTAATTTGCCTTTTCTTTTCATTTTCTTGAAGGTATATTCAAGCAGCTGCCTCCCCCAAGGATATTGTGATATTATTAGATGGCAGTGGATCAATGACAGGTCTTAGAAAAGAAATTGCAAGGAATGTAGTATTAAATATTTTAGAAACTCTTAGTGATAATGACTTTGTTACTATACTCAGGGTAATAAACATTTTTTTATATTTATTTATGAAAATGAATATTCTCGTAATTCAATTATATTATGTAACAACATGATGAGAAGCATCGTCATGGGAATCACATTTGCGTCAAGTTAAAACTATGCAGCTGTAATTAGTGGATTTTAAGAAAAGCATAAATATATGAGTTTCAGACATATGAATCAAATTTCAAATTATTGAATATATACCTCCTTAATATTGAATATAAATCTATCTATAAATTCAACGCTCTGTTCAAAAATTTTGTCGAGTTTGCTCACAAAATAAACTCAGTACGAGTTGATATAAGTAATAGTTAATTCTAAAGCGAAATTCTAAATTATCAGCAGTCAACTTAGCAGTAAATATTTAGATTTATTAATTTATTGTAAATCTACAGATTAGATGTGTCTAACTAAAGTAAAAAAAAGTTAAAGGAACCAAGCAATATATATATATATATATATATATATATATTTGCCTTTGCTATACTATTTCTGTTATTGCAAAATTAAATACAACCCCTCACAAATTATCAAAATGAGTGAAATTTTTACACTAAGAAAAATTAGATAAAATATTACATTTACTTGCCTTTAATTTGTATTGAGCACAAACATATTGGCACCATTGTAATAAATGCTTCAATATTTCATTATCTTCATACATTTTTGAATTAGTGAAAGACAAATCACAATTTTCTGGTTTAGATTCCTCAAAGGCACTGAATGCAGCATAATCAGCCTTTAATTGCAAAAGACGCTTCAGGTAAGCATTTTCTTTCATCAGTATTTCTTTGTTCAGCAATTTAGAAATCTAGAAAAGATTATTGACTTTTAAAAATAAATGCCATCAGAACAGCAAAGGGATTGTGAAAAAAAAGAAGTTTTCTTTAAGTACCTGAGTTTTGAATATGATTTGCCATAGCAAGCTAAGAGTTTTCTCCCTGTTCCCATCAACAATATCTCTCGCATCAATATTTCCTGCAGAAAAATATTAAAGCACATTAGTTTTAAGCTTAGCAATTAAACACTAACAAAATTATTTATTGACTTGTTGACATTAACTATTTATAACAGTGATATATGAAGGAGATGTATGACAAATACAGATTGACCTCTACTACTATGCACAGTGGGCAGAAAAAAAAAGATATCACCCTGAATAACTTTTGTTCTAATGATCGGATTTTCACATGCTAAGTGTCAATCTTAATCGTTCCTGGGGGTGACCTCAACTATGCTATGCAACTGTTTAGTGCTAACTATAATTAAATTATGAAATAGGACACAAAAACGTACTGTCTCTAAAAAACATGTTTTTTTTTAAATTAAAAAAAAAAAATTAATAAAAAACATATTTGGATTCTTAACTTTAAAAATATTGGGGGGTAACCACAATCTCAGAAATATGGTTCCCATAGTTTGGTCAGGAGAACCATGAAACCTTAAAAGAAAAAAAAAGAAAAAATAAAATAAAAAGAACAAAAAAAAAAAAAAAAAAAAAAAAAAAAAAAAAAAAAAAAAAAAAAAAAAAAAA